CTCTAGGTTGAGACTAGAAACTAAAGAATCAAGGGTCTTTCTGGAACTTGTTTCATCTGTGATGGTACTTTCCTTTCAACACAAGGCAATCATTGCAATCACACCTGCAATTGCCAATTTTACTTCCAAGAAACACCGACTTTGAGCTCTTCAATCAAGCATGTTGTTAGCATTCTCCACTGTGCTTTACTTCACAGCTTTCTCTAATGAGCCATTTTCTGCAGTTCCAAAAATCAAGGCCTCATGGTGGTCACAACTTGCAGCATGCCATCATTACCAGGATAGTTATATACCACTCACAATCAGAAACACTGGCTTTTAATTTAATTTTTGTAACTGTCAGTATAGGGTATGCACTTAGGGCAGTCATTTTTTCACTACCAAGCAAGTGTGTGCTTGGAGTTTGAAGGCAGATCAATTACTCTGAATGGGGCCCGAGGGACTCTTAAATGAAATGCAGCTTTCACCTTTGAGAAGATGCTTCTTACATTCTTTTTCCCTGGACTTGCATAATGCACCAACACGCTTCCCAACCTTGTCTGTGACATATCCTAAGGCAGCTGCTTTTAAGCTGGATTCTTTTAAATCCACATGCATTCTGGTGATTTGACACTGCTTTCTTCTTGATACAAGACTCCTGAGAAAGAGAGCTTCTAAGCACATAATCACAAGTATTCTTCTATGGACAGTTAAAGGGCTTTTTTTGCACTTTTAAAAGAGTCACTGCTAGAAATTAGGATGCAATATAATGGCTCATAGCATTAATTTCCCTCTCCCTTCTGACCTCACCTTTTCATGTCACCATGCAATTCTAATCTGTTCTCAATAGAAAGGCAGTTGATCTATGATAAAATACCCCAAAACAGTTAAAAACTGCTAAACACACACATGCATAGGCTAACGATTTTGTTCAGGTAGATTAGGCAAATTCTGATTTAACAAAGGAGAGGTTATTTTATCCTCACTCACTTTCAAATAAAGACGTGATAACAGTTTAGAAGACCAAGGATTACCAGGGATACAGATAGGACTCTTCAGCTAAAGCCTCACTTGTGCCTGAGTAGTGAATACCAGGTGCAAGAGCAGTGTGCAAACAAGGACAGGCATCTCCTCCTTCACTTGAAAACAGGACAATGTGGTACAGTGAATACTTACAAAGAAGTTACAGAAGTGATCACACTATTGAAATAGCTTCTGGTGCACTAGAATTCGAGTTACCTCTAGGACTCTTCATAACTGTATCTTCAGTAGATGAAGAATACGAAAAATAGAGATTCCAAAGCTTTGAACAAATGCTCTAACAACAAACTACTTTCCATTGTCACTTCTGATATGTCTTTATGGAATGACTTGTATAGGTATCTGGCTTTTTAAAGCTCTTCTTAAGTTTGGAACATCCCTATACAATTACACACCCTGAAGCAACCCTCCAATAGAGTTGAGAAAAAACACAAACTTAAGACAATATATTTGATGTACTGTTCCTCAGAAGATATTATTAGACTTTCCAGAAAAAGCAGAATTGCCCTTCTAGAGATAAAATATTGTTTTTCAAAGGTGGGTGTTGAAGAGTTAAAAAGCAAAGAAAGAAGAAGAAACACAAGAAATACAAAGGCAAAAACATTTTTACCTTGGTACATGCCCTTCTAGAGATAAAATATTGTATTTCAAAGGTGGGTGTTGAAGAGATAAAGAGCAAAGAAAGAAGAAGAAGAAACACAAGAAATACAAAGGCAAAAACATTTTTACCTTGGTACAAGCAGCAGTAACTACCTTCTGGGCATTGCTACTTGCACAGCAATTACAATTGCTGATGTGAGAAAAAAAACAGTGGTACAGTTGCTGATTTTACACAGCACTTTTTGTTAGAAATTCAGCTAATCCACAGATTAACACACAAACCACAATAAAAGCAGAATCAAAATTCTTGGAGCTCTGCCAAGGTTAGATATCATTCTCTGTATCTGACAAAAAACATGACCTCCAGTGGTAAAAACAAAATCCTGACTGAGAAAGCCAGAGCAAATACCACTGTAGGGGGTTCCTTTCCTCACAATCCCACTTCCATCTTAGTCACATCTTTACATCAAACAAGAAGGACCTACAGAGCTTTCCACCTAAGTTTTTGGGTTTTGCCTACTTATTTCCTAACATAAGGATCTCTGAATGTTAGATAATCACTGGCTCTCATTTTCAGGAATTTCAGGTATCTTAGCAAAGACTGAAGTATCTTTCACAAAGGTATTAATTTTATTTCCTATGCCTTCTGAGATGAAGCTCTCACTGAAGGCATTAAAGCTTTATGCTTGTTCCTTCAGCAGCTGAATGTTCTTTGTAAGGGAAGTGTAAACTGAAAAGATTCCAAGCGTCACCTGCAAAGGGTACAATACACTTATTCCTCAGGAAAAATATGCAGCCTTTTCATAGTCTGGTGCAAATTTTCTGCAAAAAGAGAAGTAACTCCACCTCATAGGTGTAGAAGGTTAACCACTTCATGCTAATTCTGATCATACAGAATGAGTAATCCAGAGTCATCATTGTAAAAGCAGCAATCAGGCTGCCTTCCAAGGAAAACAGAGGCAACAAGTACATCTTGGCTACTTTTGTCAATGTATTAAGAGGTTTGGTTCACTTTCTGTGTAAACATTTTTTCTTCCAGGTTACTAATGTGTAAGATAAATATTTTGAGAGTCTAATATTTCTGACATTTATTGCCACTCCTAAAAGAACAAATGTTTCCAGCCAGACTTTCATGCACCCTCTGCAATCTCTGAAAATACTTTATGTATCCAGTGAGGGAAAAAAGAATTGAAAAACAAAACCTCAGAACTAAATTTGATTTACATGAGACTGTTATTTATCTGCCTTGATAGAAACACTTGCATTTATCAGATAAAGCCTGGTTTCAGGGCCACGTTAGATGGGTCATGGGCAACTTGATCTAGTGAATGGCATACCTGCCCATGGCAGAGGGGCTGAAACTAGATGACCTTTAAGGTACCTTCCAAACCAAGCCTTCATGATTTTATCATTGACTACAATCTCTTTTTCCAACACTTTTGCAAAAGAGAAGGAACAAGGCAACGTTCTTTGTATTGGGTTTGCATGACAAGGTTTTGGCAGCAGTGGGGGGAGCTACAGGACCAGCTTCTGAGAGAAGCTGCCAGAAGCAGCTCTGCCTGACAGAGCTAATGCCAGCTGGCTCCAAGATGGACCTGCAACTGGCCAAGGCTGAGCCCACCAGAGATGGTAACAGCAGCTCTGTGACAACTCATTTAAGAAGGGGAAAAAATTATTGGGCAAAATTAATTGCAGCCAGAGAGAGGAGTGAGGATATGTGAGAGAATCAGCCCTGCAGACACCAAGGTCGGTGCAGAAGGAAGGGCAGGAGGTGCTCCAGGTGCCAGAGCACAGATTCCCCTGCAGCCCCCTGGTGCAGCCCATGGTGGGGCAGGATACCCTCCTGCAGCCCATGGAGGTCCATGGGGGAGCAGAGATCCACCTGCAGCCCAGAGCAGGTGGATGCCTGATGGAGTCTCTGACCCCTGGGAAGTCCACACTGGAGCAGAGTCCTGGTAGGACTTGTGGCCCCTTGGAGAGAGAAGCCCACTCTGGAGCAGGTTTGCAGGTGGGACTGGTGACCCCAGAGGGAACCCATGCTGGAGTAGCCAGTTTCTGAAGGACTGTCTCTCCTCGGAGGAACCCCATGCTGCAGCAGGCAAAGGACTTCCCTCCCTGAGGAGGAAGCAGCAGCAGAAACAACCTGTGATGAACTGATTGTATTCTGCACTGCCAAGGAGAGAAGGAAAAGAATCAGGATAAAGTTAAGTCCAGAAAGGAGGGAGAGGTGGGGGAATGGTGCTTTCAAGATTAGTTTTACTTCTCATTATCCACTCTGATTTTGATTGGTAATAAATTCTATTAATTTCTCAAGTTGAGTCTGGATTTGCCTATGACAGTAATCAGTGAGAGATCTCTCCCCGTCCTTAACCTCAACTCATGAAACTTCCCTTGTATTTTCTCTCCCCTGAACAGTTGACAAGAAGAGTCACAGAGCAGCTTTGGGGAACACCTGACATCCCATCAGGCCAAACCACATCTCTGAAAGATAAGCAAAAAATTCCCTAGTAGAGCTGTTATTGAACAAAACCTGATATTCAGGGAAAACAAAATATATTGAGCTGCTTCTTCTTCATCTAGCCAAAGCCTTTTCTCTGAGGAAAAAATATTCCATCTCTCATTTATACCACCTGGAGACAAGTCCTAGGAATTCTTCTCAGTCCAGACTCAGAACAACGACTTGATCTTTTGGAGCCTAATTGTAATGACTGACATAAGAGAACAGGACTCATTTGCTTCTGTGTGCTACCACTTAATATGAAGGGATTACAACATTTAGTGTAATCAGAAAGGGCAAATCCCAGGACAACATGTTAGACAGCCTCCATTACTGTTCCGTTTTATAAATAGTAGACTTAGATTTGGCTAAGCACACATGCCCACAATGGGGCATTATAAGGCCCATTTATGGAACTTATAAAAGGAATTATAAGAAAAATATATAAAACAGAAATAAAAAGTACTTTCAAATGTATGTCTGTGTCTGATGGTGAAACCAAGAAATATGTGAAATTATTTGATTCTCAAAGTTTGTAGCCTATTTTTTCCATACTTGAGAATTTCTGTATCTTAGCGACTGTCAAAAGCACAAAGCAAATTATTTAAGACAATTTTCTTGAGCTTAGCCAGGTTTTGGCATTTTCTGCCATGACTGTCTGCCCCCTTATAGTGTGTAGAGGATTAGAAAATTAAGTTATTTTAATTTGGAGATGACTGGGCCATTGAAATATACTAATTACACACAGTACTGTACTTCTTATATGTAATTATACATCTGTGAGAGTGCATACACACAAAAATGCACTTTATACACAAAAAAATCACCTGTGTTTCTTCTAGTCTGCAGGACAAAGATTACTGATCATAGCTGAAAAGCTTACCTGGATCTGGGCTTTGTTTCCAGCTGTTATATTAGATATTGTCCAGCATGCTTCCTTTTTGATAGATTCTTTTGGGCTGCTTAGCAAGTGCAGCAAACTCTGCAGAGCTGAACAATTCAGAATTACCTGAATACAACAGGAAAAACAAAACACACCACAGAAGAAATTTAGGATAAAGAACCACAGGAACAAGGAGTACAATGTCTTGAAAATATAAAAAGCATACTCCATTAGATGATCACAGAGGTTTTGGTTTTTTGTTTTTTTTTTTTTTTTTTTTAAAAACTAAATATATGCATCAAAAAAAAAAATCATCCAAAAAAAAGAAAACCCACAGCAAGAATTAAGAAATAAATGTTTGCAGGAAAACTAAAGAGAAAAACTACCAAGTTTTTCAGGTAAGAGATTACAGCTTCATAATGACTTCAGTGTGATATGAAAACAAGAAGATACTAAGCACATTATGACCAAACAAAAATTATGGTATTTTACTGTATTTTTGTACAATTGTAAGCACCAACTACTTCTGTTTCCACATCTGCTGGCACTGTGGTGCAGAGTGTGACCAGTGTTGCATACAGTAACATTATAAACGGACAATTCTTATTGAAAAAATTGCAAAAACCCTGCAATTTTACAGTGCAGAAAAACTGCAACAAAATTTCCTTTTTCTAAATGACAGAAATACAACAGAAAATGCCCTGGAACTTCAATGTTACAAGACAGCACTCTTCATTATATCATGTGCGATAGTGAAGGACTTTTTGATTTGCTAAAAGGGCATAACAAGATCCAAAAACTGAAAAATTAACAGTCTTTTTATAAAAAAAATTCAATTCTAACTTCTAACAATGAAGCCAAAAATTGGGAGAGTACACCAAGAAGCACAGCAGTTTTGCCTCGTGTGGCAAAAGCAGCACCTTGGAAAGTACAGTGTGGTACAGAATTTTATGAGAAATACTCCAGTCAAGCTGAATCATGGTCATGACTTCTGATCATGGAATCTGAGGACCTAACTCCCTTGCTTGCAACACCCCATAGTCTTAAAATCTTTATACTCCCCACTAAGATCAAAATAGCAAAGATTATGATTCAGTATTTTTTTCAGGTGTCTGCTGGGACAATTTTTTTTTTTTTCATGCATACTTCATGGTTTTAGCCTTGTTCAAGCCAATTGTTAATAGCTGAAAATGAAAGAAAAAGTAAAAGCAAGTTTGTGCCCCAAGGTTTTACAGAGAAGTTCTTGAAAAACCTGTATGCTGCATTCACATCCCGAAATGTATCAGCTCTCAATGCTGGGCTCTTCCTTCTAATTAGTGATTTTTACATGCATCCTTTATCACTTTTTAGCATACAGCACAGTCTATGGGCAGGACTATCATACTATCCTACCTATATAGTTCTCTAGAATTTTAGGAATGCCCATGGTATGCTCCTCAGAAAAAATCATGCACAATAAAAATGTTTAAATTTTTAATTAAAATCTAAGATTTGTGCAGTATTTAATAACCTGTATTGCATGTGAATTAGTGATCCCTTGTGGTTTTATCTTTAATGAAATTATGAAATCCCACCTCAATCATTCTTTATGACTGATCTGTGAAAAAACTGCCACTGAGAAGAATACAACAATGCCTCTGCAATTCAGCTACACAAAATACATTGTAACAATCAAAAAATCATGTTATCTTCCTCCTAGGAATAAGACACCGAAACACTGCCCTAGTGCTGCTAACCCATCTCTAACTCTGGTCTCAGAGTCACAGAACTACAGAAGCATCCCAGCGACAACCTAGTGCCTCTGAAGCACCAGGTTTCCTGCCTTCCAGTTTAATTCCAATACAGTGGTGGGAGTCACTGCCTCCTACCTATGTTTCTCCAAAAATGTGTCCAGACACAGCCACACACCACCCAAAATATGACCGGACACTTGTTTTCTGTAGTCATGATATCTTCTGAAAAATCCTTTTGCCATGATTTTTCTCCTGAGGAGCCTCAGGAAAGAAATGTAAACAATAACTACCTGCTGCTGTGGAACACAACAGGTGCAGCTGTGATTGGTGTATGTTGGTTGTTTCGAATTAATGGCCAATCACAGTCAGCTGGCTCAGACTCTCTGAGAGTCACAAGCTTTTGTTATTCATTCTTTTCCTGCTCTTTCTAGCCTTCTGATGAATCTTTTCTCTCTATTCTTTTAGTATAGTTTTAGTATATAATTTTTAATATAATATATATCATAATAAATCAGCCTTCTGAAACATGGAGTCAAGATTCGCATCTCCTCACATGGGGCACCAACCATAGTTTTCCATCATAAATATGACATATTTTCATCACATATATGACAGATTCATCACAGACTGGCAACAGCACTAAATGTGACAGGCCTTTGACGGCACTACCAGCGTACATCACTCAGCACAAAATTCAGCTTAAGAGACAGATTTGCTTTAAATACACCAAAAACATCCCACCCTTGAGGGGTACTGCACAGGTGTCCAAAAGTCCCAGACACAGCTACCTAAGAACCATCACCAGTTCAGGACTGAACAGAAAAATGGAAAACCACCACACTTTGAAGCAATTAGTGTCATCAACCTTCATTTTCAAACTTCAAAAGGAACAAGAGGAGGTGCTTGTGAACAGGTTACCACAATTAACCGAAAGATGAACTGCAGTGCAACACAAGAGAAAGTTCATCCATACCTGGGTCTGGATATCATCTCCTGTAACAATGTTTCCCACAGCTCGTAAGGCAGGAGATACAACTTTGTAGTCATTGTGCCTAAAATTGACAAAGAAAAATGCAAGTATTAACCTTCCCAAAGCATCCCCAGCTTCACATTCTCAAGGAAGGAACATCTACCAGCTAGGGGAAAACTTCCCTGATAAATCTGACTTTCACTATCTAAATAAACAAACTGATTTTAAACTAATGGCAAACCTCTCTAGGGTTTCTAAATATTTAGACCTTTAGATGTCATTCAGCAGCATAAAAATAAAACATTAGAAGAATAAAAGCACTTCAGAGTACTTCCAACCATCCTTGGGAGGAAAAAGTAATTATCATTAACTATAAAATACACTTAATGTAGCATGCACAAAGGCCAAGAATGAGACAGAAGAACAGGGATAGAAGTTGTGTGTTTAACCCATCTAAAGCTATTTGTCATGTTCTATCATCATATTCATCCCTTCATCATCATTGTTAAATCAGAACTGGAATAGGAAAGGTGAAGTGAGAAATGTTTTTCTCAAATCAAAACTTCTTTATAAAAAGCTACTTAGAGGTAATACATTCCATTCATTAATCCAGCAATACATTTGCTCTAATGGTAAAGGTCTTAATTGTCTTTTTATTTACATCACTGAAATGTCTTTTTATTTACATCTCTGAAAACCATTATTCCTTTTTCTTAGGCCATTGAATGGTCCATGTCCTGACCTTGGATCTGAAGGAATGGCTCTGAACAGTCTCAGTGACCCCAACTCTCACAGCTACACTTTACTGACCAAAATGCTCATCTACTCTTCTACACTACGGGTTGAGGAAATTATTTATATTTCAAGTCCCTGGTACTATCAACTACAGTAAATTGAACTATTTCTTATAGTTTTATCTTTGATATCCTTTAGGTAATTTCCTTGTTACGTAACTATAATATGGACTTCAATGACACAAGGAAAACTCCAATATGCATTATGGATTTTACAAAAATGTAGCTTTTAGATGCAGGAAAAAAAATCTCTTAAGAAACAGCAAAATTAGTACAAGAAAAGTTCCATTGCTTTTGTTACTCATGACAAATAGAGAACACTGAACAGACAGGTAAAATAAAAAAATCAAATCTTGCTCTTTGGAAATCACAACATTTCAAGACCTATTTAATTAAACTCCTTATTGTTATAATCTTGATGTCAGGGAAAAGAGTGACGCTTTCTTGCAACAGATTTCTTACATCAGCAGTTCCACAAGTCTTCTGCAGACTCCTGCATCAATCACAGCCTGGATTTTATCATTGGGGCCATCAGACAAATAGGACAAAGCCCAGCAGGCATCAGCTAACACATCTGTATCATTAACAAAGAGCAGCCAGGAAAGCACACTAAGACAAGGTGAAACCTGTAAGACATTAAGAGGAGATACATACAATTAAAAGGGCCAGGAAACCTATTATTATGTCAGCTAATTTTGTATGTCATTACTGGATTAGGCACTGGCATCTTAAGATTCAATACTCAGGAAATTTCAGACCTAGCCAGCCCTTCTGTGCAGGCCTGTAGCTATACAAGCATGGAGAAGCATGTCTCCAGAACAGCATCGCAGCAACTCTTCAGCCTCTACAGAACAACATCTGCCAATGCAACTCAGACTTGTTCACTAGGATTTGCCAGGTGCTGCTCTACAGCAGCCAAGATGTGCAGAGTTTTGTTCTGCTATGGGACAGTCATCTCCAGTACATGAACAGTAACAAAAAAGTATAAGACAGCCGTGTTAAAACAGTGGTTGTGAATGTCTGCCCAAAGGACTAAACAAAAAACTTCACCTGGAAGACGGCCATCAAGTATTTCAGAATTTCTCTGATGAAACATTCCTTCTGTTTAGTTTAAGTTTCACCACCTTAAACTAATAATTTTGTTACCACTACTTCACATTTTCTTTCAAGCATCTCTTACCTTGGCAAAATCAGGAGGAGGATTTTTCCCTCTGCAGAGGTTGGACAGAGCCCATACAGCATTTCGGGTCATAGTGAGACGATTCTGTTTTGAAAGCAATCTAAAACAAACCAACAAAAAATTCTAACCCTTGCTTTTAAAAAATCAAAGCCAGGCAATCCCATTAACTGTGTGAACCATTAAATCAAATTCTTTTTAACATACACCAGGGCAAAATATGATAGTTTTTTTCTATGAAAACACATCCTAAAGAAAATCATCCTTGATGGCTACTAACACGCATGCTAGACACAGTACCTAGTAGCTCAACAAGAACAGTAAACATTACACAAAATTTCACTCAAATGCTTAGATACTTAGATGCTTGATGTGGCAGATTAACAGTCAAATGAGGTGCAGGAATTGTGACAAAATTACTCTAAGAAGGAGGACATGTAGGTAGTTTTGAAGAGAACTCTCATAGCTAAATTGCATTTTTATGTCAGTCTCAGACTATGAATCCCACTTTGGCCTAGGAAAATGCAGAAAGACCTAATTTTCCCACAAGTGTAACAATTCAGTTTATTTTTCTCATAGCCATCTCCCACTGTACCAATGTCTTTATGAGAGGACAGGAGAATTCTCCTGCTGCAGAGTCTGCAAAGGACAGAGACTAAGTAATTGTAATTTGGACAGGACAACACAAGATGGTGTCATTGTTTCAGCAATGATATGCTTCTTAAACAGAGGATCATCAAGATAATTAGCAGGCTAGAGAAATGACATGCAGTGGGACTTCAGTGACCTGGATTTGTTCAGCCTTAGAAGGAGATGGTGTGAGAGGAGACACAACTGCTGCCAACAACACTTTAACAGGTGGATATACAAAAGAGGAGGCAGATCCTTCTCAAAGGTGCATAGTGACAGGACGAGGCAACATCAAGAGGTAAAATACAGAAAATTCTGATTAGGTATCAGAACACTGTGTTTCACCACACCATGGTCAAACACTGCAACAGGTTACCCCAGGTAGTTACGGAATCTACTTTTGATGTTCCAAATTTGACTGGTTAAGTAGTTGAGCAATCTAATCTGATCTCACCTGCTATGAAGAAAGGCTTTGACTAGATGACCTCCAAAGGTGCCTTTCAATTTAAATTATTCTGTGAGTCTAAAATAAGCCCTGACATCCACCCACACTGTAGGACAAAATAGTTCCAGCTTAGCTGCTTCTAAAATGTTTCCATTTTAGCTTCATTTTAAAAGTAGTTCAGGACTCCCCTTTAAAAACTGTGGTTAGTCCACAATAAAAGAAAACAGTATTATTATTCTTCAAGGCAAAACCCAAATTTCAGTCCTATCAGGCACTCAAGCAAAATTCTGAAAAACATATTAAAACAAACTTACTGCAATAAAGGGGGCAAGATATTACAGTCCAAAACATAGTCTCTGCACATAGTGCTGTCTCCAGCAATGTTGCCAAGAGCCCATACGGCCTGCAATGAAAAACAGAGTAATAATTGCTTTTATTCTCAAAATTCCACCAGTTTAACATACGTAATAGAATTGTGAGATAATCTGTTCTCTCTGTTAGGTCCTGGACAATGTACAGAAGGGAAATGCATTCTGGTTGCGTATTGCATATATACACTCGAGCTCATTGTATGATTCAGGAATATTTGTGGATATCTAAGAAGAACACCATAACAGCAAAGGCATACATCTCCACAGACTGTGAAGGCAGACATACCCTTGCTCTGACCACAGTGTAAGAGATGAGCTCACCTCCACAGGCTTAGGAACATTCTAATTCTACCCTCCCTGTTCACATCTAATTTAAAACCAGATGTTTGTAGCACAGGTCAAGCAAGTCTGTATCTACCCAAAAATGTTTGTGTGGAACAACCCACATTAGTATTTACTACAAAGGTACAAAAGCAAACATTGTTTACACAGTCATAGATAAAAATGAGAATCTATGTTCAAGATAAACCAATACTCAGAATCAAAGAGTTCAGGTGGGCCTGGACATAAATTCTTTAAAATAAATTTTAATTTTAAATTCTTTAAAATAAAACTATATGAGAAAGAACCAGTTTTGGATTAAGTCATATGCATGGCAAAATGTAAGGGTCTGGATATCAGTACTACCCCAACTTCATTTTGAAAAGATCAAAAATACCAGAATTAAAGCAGCATGAAATCCATCCTGTGTAATATGTTGAGAACAAAAAATTCAATTGGTTTTGATTTATACATTTGGGCCAAGTGGTGTTTTATATATCACTGTCCACTCGTATGAGAGTTATAACTTTACAAAGTAGAAATATGTAAAGTAAAAAAGCAATTTTATGAATTCCATGCAAATTACAATATTTTGTCACACAAGAAAGCTTATGAAGTTCACATTTCCTATTTACTTCAAGTTAGCAGAAAACTAAGTGTCATATCAAATAGATACATGTATCTGTTTATTTGGTCGGCTCATTTGGCTTTTGGCTTTACACACAGATCTACACAACCACTGAAGTACTCCAAATTCTACATACAGAAGACAAAAGCAATTCTGTTTGTCATGGATAGCAGCTGAATGTCCTCCCCAAATTTCTCTTCATTTGAAGGCTACATATTTAGCTGCAGTAAAATGAGTTATAGTGCATAACCATTTCTCCAATTGAACAAAGCAAGTTCCTCACACACAATAAACATGTTCTTCCATCTCTCTATACCTATTTAAAATAAAATGCTCCTCAAAAAAACTAACAGAATTGCCAATTTTTTACCTAAAGGAAATTTTTGGATAACCTGAAATAAATGTATTTATTAATTTTCAATATGGTGTCAATGAAATCAAATGCATTAAGTTTCTCCTGTATGATGTTTTTAAATGGTGGCAAGAAGATTCTACTTTAAAAAACAAGACTCCAACCACTCTAGAGGCCCAAATGCACCAGCAAACCCTGCAAAATGAATGCAGCTAAAACCAGAAGTACATACAGAATGTAGATGGAGATGTCAGCATGCTAGATAGAAAATAAAAAGACTCCTCCTCTGTACCAGTACTACCAACAGCAGCATAGGATCGGAGCCATTAAACTGCAAGTTGTGAAGAGAGCAGGCGACTGTTCTGGGGAAGGATTAGTTTGTTTTTTCTACTCTTTTCCAGGCTTCTGCTGTCAGCCACAGTCAGAGGCAGGGCACGAGACTTCACTGACCTGTGTTTGCTATGAAACAGCACAGCCATTATAACTACACAATGTTTTCCCAAAACTGAACTTCACCATCATTTCTCATTCTAGCTCTTATTCTTTTTACAACTATTGTGACAACAGTTGATATAAAAAGTGTAACTTTGATTTGACAGCCTCTTGGACTCAGCACACAGAAGACAGCTAACAGAAAAAATTAGCTTAAGAGTCAGAATATATGCTACCTCCTGCAAAATGTCATTCACATCAGAACTTTAAGGAGCCACACCTGTTGTTCACTCCAATACTTGCATTTCTACAGCAAGGAGAAGCCTGAGGAATGAACCAAAGATTTCAGACTGTCCTAAATAAGTTTGTGAACCTTCTGAAAATACTCGGGGTGGGGGGGAAGAATAATTCTCTTTCACTGAAGATGTGAGTGATTTTGTATGAAAGCACAGTTTCCTTGCCTGGACACCCTTACACAGGTGAAAAACAAGGAAGCCCTATTTCATTTTCTGTGGTCTTTGTTTCTGCCATTATAGCCATAGCTATTTTTAAGGTTGACAAGAGTGATAATCACTTAATCCAAGAATCCATTCTGACCCTGAATGACTGACTGGTTTTGCAACAGCAAATCTCAAATCAAAAAGTCTGACTAGAGAAGTCAAATAGCACCTCTGTTTTCCCATTCTTCACTGTTTTTAAGGCAAGGAAAGTCTGGCTGTGTGGTCTGGTGTCACAGGAGCTGGTAAGAGACATTGTAACAAATCCTTGTAATGCTAATCACTGATAGGACACAAGATGCCAATTAATTTAAATACCATGTCCTGGGTGACCTTAGACTTTAGAAAAATATGCAATGTTTCATTCAATAAGGAAGATGTCTCTCCTTAGGGAATTACTTCAGCTCTTCAGATAAGTAAGGAATGGAAGTCAAGCTCATTTAAACTCTTCTCATCAAACACTGCCATAAATACAAAGCTCTGCCATGGTTTCCACAAACACATGAACAATGACAAGTTTCTTCAGAGTTTGTTTGTCTGAATAATGTTAAATGATCTCCATTTCTTCTTTTGTGCACTCCTCAAGATGCAAATATTTGCCACAACATTTTGGCTTTTGCTTCATTCTACACAACTTAAATGTTTTCATGTTCATTCAATTTTAGAGCTTATTCAATCAAAAAATATTTGACTAAAAAAATCCATTTCAGTACCTTCTACTATCTAACTCAACTTAAAGATTACATTAATTTTAAGATTTGTGGCCTGATTTTGACCCACATCTTAGGAAGAAAGCTCTGTGCAAACTGAAAGTGCAAATGTTGCCTTGTTAACTGACAGCACCTATTTTTATACACTTGTATAAATTTCCATTTGTTGTTAACAACGGAGTAAGGTTTGTTGTAAATCTTCAATTTATTTTACTCAACACTGAATTCCAGTTTTTTCCTGCAGTGCTGGACAACTTCAATAGTCAGTAAAAGTAAAGTGCAAGTCTTGTGGAGTACTGTAGAACTCCATGGTGCCTTCTGTGAATAATCCATGTGCTTTTTGACAACTCTCCGCTATCCCCTGGATTCTGAAGATTCTCAGCCATTATTTCTTTGGATATTTAAACTAAGTGCTTAAGCCAATCACCAACAGTGTGCAGAGTTTGCCTCTCAGTGGAGAAGAAATATGACGAAGAATCAATTCTTTCTCAACATCTGGATGCTGACTTGGGAAAAGGATCCAATGCTGAGATGAAGATGGTGAAGATTAGCTTGCATGCAAGTGTGATTGGCTAAGTGAACACAGGGAAGGATACCAGAAGGACACATTCCTAGGAGATGACTGCTACCATGTCCTAACACAGAAAACATCATCCTTTCAGTGGCTGGGGTGGTTTTAGCTCCTTCTCATATCTCATCTGACAAACAGAGAAAGTAGCTCATCCTCACACCTTGACTGTTTGTCCTGATTTTGATTACTGAGAGATTGTTAATAGGACTGCTGATGTAAAAGCCAAACAGAGCCTGGACACCAGACTCACAGGTCAGCTCTGCCAAGAAAGTGATGGTCACCAAAAGGAATAGCAGTACAACTAGAAATGGAAAAATACTGAGGGAGAAACATACTGGTTGCCTCAGCTGAAAATGCAAACTTTCCCAAAGGGGAACAGGGCAGCAGGAGATGCTCATGCCACCATCTGTCACATACCTGCCACTGTGAGACAATCATGATCCTCCTCAACAGGCAGCACAACGCCTTGCATGGGTTTGGAAGGAAATTCCATGTTCATCAAGGAAACCCAAGCTGACATCTGGGTTTTAAGTACCACAGCAGGGGAAGTCAGAAAAGAATTGCAGCTAAGACACTGCTGAAGCCACATCAATCTTAAGCGTGTCTAAAGAGCTTTGATCAAATCTTTCAATACAAATCCTTTCAGACAGGTAGATCAAAATTTATAGATGTCTTTTGGAACAAAAAACCTGTGGGAAGTGGAAAAGGGCTAGGACATGTGCCCCTGACTAAACCTAAAAATCAGTACACCAAAAACAGAAATGGGGAGAGAAGGGAGATGTAGCCAGTGTTTTTCATAAATAATGCAGATGTAGATTCTGTGATAAATTCAATTTCTCTGATGGAAAAACGTATGCTAAATGGTTTGACCACTGATCACAGAGGAAGAAAGACACACAATACAAGCAATGAAAGAGTTAAAGGATGGTAGGCTAATTAAATCAGGCCTGCACAACTTAATGGGAAACAGATCTTGTAAAAGGACGTAAGGAATCATTTCATTAACATACATGTTGCTTATTAAACATAGCTATAAAGATTCCCTGACAGACTTCTATAAAACAGCTGATTTAGAATCTTCACTAGACTCAGAAACTAGCATATGCAAAGGAAAAAGTGTAAAATTAAAACTGGCTTATAGATATGAAAAACACATGTTGGCAACATTGTGATCAGAAGATAAGGTACACTGATATCCGTTCCTGAGCTATTGCTAAGGGAAGTTAGAAATAAAAGATAAAGTAGACACATAAATCTTTAAAACTGACTTACTATAAAACAAAAACAGTGGATCATGACTAGCCAATAAGTAAGATATTGTACATATTTTTTGTTTATGCCATGCTACATATCCAAAATAATGTTACCACCTAACGTTTCCTTCTAAAGAATTGCCAACCCAATTAGAACACAGCCTTCAATACTTCTTTCTCTCCTCATCTTTTCCTATATGATTACAGGGTTAGCTTCTGGCCCCTCTGCCCTGAACACATTGTTATATTTTCTGTATTTTTATAATTTGCTACAAATGCAGTTGCTTGCAAATAATAATCTTCACAGTACTACTGTGAGACATAATTAGGGTGATCATTTTAGGAGAAAACTGTAGGGAAAGATCACAGATCCAGCTTGAGAACTCCAGGATCAGACCTGCTCAAAACACAGGCCTAACTATAAAAATCACTGCTGAGTTGTCCTCAACTACAAATAAATAAAAAAAAAGAAATATTTCACCTTGAGCATTTAAAAACCCCAGAACAAGTACCCACTTACTGAAAACTGAGAGAAGGAAATCATCCCGCATCAGACACTAAGCAGTAGAAACATTTTTCTCACAAACCTACTATCAGGCATAACTGTAAGAATTTCTTCCCTATGCTCCTCCATGCACTATAATTTGTTCCAACTTTAACAAACAGGGTCATAGTGTGACAAATAAAAGCCTCCTTTACTACCCACTCATCTGTTACCAGGGCAACAATCTGTGCATATACTGAATGAGACAAGAGTCATCTGGAACAATACTATGCAATTGTGTACTACTGCTATCCTGTAATTCAGAAGTACAGGAGCTAACTTCTCAGTGCTTATATGCTCCTAATTTTTGTTTCAGAGGATACTGTGGTGAAGTGCTTAGGGCTTTTTAAAGCTCTTGGGGAAAAAAAGCAGAACTCCTCTTTTGTTAGCCAGCATTAAACCCCATGTCAGTCAGCTGTGAGCAGGGCTGCAACGTCCAGAGCTGCAGCAGAGAAACCCACAACAAAACAGTGTAACACTTTGCCATGGAACATTTTCCTTCTTCAGCACAGCTTACTAAGGAGCAATTTGTCACTGCTAGTTTGAGATTACCAGTAAGAGAGAGATCATGAATTTGGCAGCACTTGAACTGCATGGAAGAATATTTTTCAGTAATGACAACCAAGCCACTCTGCCTGCCTGCAATCTGAATTTTAATATGTCACCAGTTTATTAGGAGGCAAGGAGGGGGGAAGGAGCCAGATAAACTACTTAACTGTGTCCCCTAAGCTCTTCCATTAATTCACCCATTTAAAGATTGAAGGCTGCACAACTTAATCTAAACAGGTTTGCTCTTCCCACCTGCTCCCTGAACATCAGCAGGCATGATAACAACCTAACAAAAAAAGCAATTTAGCTCTTGCACAGAAGATCAGTCATTAGGAGAAAAATAAGTAAGAGCAGCCTTTACTATATACAAAGCACCAATCATTCTGCAGGAACAGCACTCTTCAAGTGATGGCTGAATTTGGAAAGCAATGCTATCCAGTTCAACCCCCAAAACACAAAATCAGAAAGGATCCATATAGCTAAGGCTGGATGGATTTTCACACAGCCAGAACACAGCATTTATCTGCCATTCTGGCAAGCTCCCTATCACATTTCTATTTCTACAACGACAGCAGACTCAAATCCTCGAAGCTAAAGTAACGGACAAAAATATTTCTTATTTTCTTTAACATTTTTCCAAACATCTGAATTCCATTCTTCTTTAAAAACCTTCTCAACAATAATAGTCTGACACAGAACATTGAAAATGGAAAGATACAAAGTGGAGTAACTTGAAAGCTACAAACAACTAAGAAAAAAATCTGTGTTGTGGAAAATGTTATGCAACCTTAAATACAGGTGGTACACTCTGAGCCAGCTACAAGAAAGAAAGGCAAGTTACACAAAGCAGTCCAATGTTTATGAGCTGGGACTCCTCCAATCAATCATGCATCTCAATTCAGCCAAATGCAAGGTCAGATATCTAGGAACACAGAACAGAGATCACACTTACAGGATGGAGAACTGAACCCTGGAAGTCAGTGACTCTGAAAAGAACAATGGATCATATTGGATAATCAGCTTAACCTGAGCACACAGCCAGCTTCTGTGGCAAGGAGTCCACAAAGACACTGAATATTTACACACTAAAGTGTCGAACCAGCGCTTGTCCCTTTCACTACCACGAAAAGATACTGAAACAAAGAAATGTTCAGAAAAAGGTGACCAAAAAACAAACCAGCCAACACAAACATTCTCAAAATGAGAATTCAGTGCTTACTGAATTCATTTACTCAAGTAAAGCCTAAGCCATGGTCTGCAAGTAGCTACAGGAAAAACCACAGAACTTACTAATGGAGTAAAGAATGTAACAAAAGCAATACTTGGACCCAAAGCTAGTCAAATTTGTATACTAAAGGTACATACTTTCAAGTTAGAATTAAGATTGGCTGAAACTAAATTTGTTAACATCATTAATATTTCATCACCCTAAGTCTTCAAAGCAAGATTATATGTCTGAAGTACATCCTTGTTTAAATACAAGTTACAGACTTCAAATGGAAACTACTGAATCAAATGTTTGGTCTGCGCTTTATACTGATCCCTGTGGGCCTTGAAGAATATTCATCTATGCTGTAAGGAGCTTGGAGAACAAACTATAATTTCTACTCAAGCTTTATCTTCAGGAGAAACAGGCACAAACTTTTCATATCTAAAGCAATTATTCAATCAAGGTTCCCTGAATTCCTCAACAGACAAAAATATACCAACCTGTTAGAGAACAAAATTAATTACCTCATTAGCTATGGTTAAGTATATAATTTTCAGAAAGAGAAAAATACAATACTTGCTTAGGTAACTTAACACATACTAAGCACAAAGCAACTGTTGTGTGAAATTGCCATACACTGCATTTTCTCTAAAGGCTTTCTTACAGGATAGCCTTGTTCCTTTCCAGAGAAGGGGAAAAAAAAAAAACCAACAAAACACCAAACAAACAAAACAAACAAAAAGTCAAACAAAAAAGCCTCCAATTCCACAAATTAACACACACACAAAATTCAACACTGTTCTCAATCTTTACCTGTTCCTGTACATCTTCAAACTCTGAACTAAGCAGCTCTATGAAGATGGGGACAGCTCCTGCTTGGATAACTATTCGAGTCTGAAGGGAATTTCCCGAGGCAATATTTGTCAGCACCCACGCAGCTTCGAACTGTAAAACAAAATACAAGTCAGTTTACTAGGAGCTTTCTATGCCACAGCAAACATGGAGACTAAATGTCTTCTAAAACCAGAGAGATCTGGCAGATTTGGCATAGGGAAAATGAGAGACATTACTAATTAACAGACAATTTGCAAAGAACCAGAACCGTGTATTTAAGAGTTATCACTATCACTTGAAACAAAAATTTGTAGCAGCTCCTTATGAGAACATTGGGTTGGTTGTGGCTTTTCAAATCTTTTTTTTTTTTTTTTTTTGCTATGCATACATATTACCTTTGCCTTTCTTACTGGCTAAGAACCTGTACACAAAACAATGTGCTTTCCCACAACATGACACCTGCATTCACTGAATCACCAGAGATATTCCTGAAGATGCAGGAGAAGACATTGTTTGACAAAACTTCATGGATATGAAGCAAAAAAAAGATCTAAAAGAGATTTAAAAAAACCAACCAAACAAAAACAGATTTCTAAAAAATAACACAAAGAACTTCTCTCCACCTCTGGTGATCAGTACTGATGCCAAATGTTATTAGTGTATGATGTTTTTGTTCACAACTTGAAGAAAAAGTGAGATCCAGATGAACACTTTGCATTTTCAACTGTTTTTGTCATTTATTATTTTAAAGTCAACTTGCAAAAGCATTAAGATGAAATGCAAATTTTAACCCTACCTGAGACCTCAGGCCTCAGAAAACAGATTCCAGAAATCCATGTTTGAGTAGGTTTCTGCATGCTTTCAGCCCGAAGATTATTACACTACTCTAGCAAATTTACAACTTATTAGGTACATTCAGAATCTATAGAATTAAAAGACTGCTAAAAGTTGAATGAAAAGTAAAATCCAACAAACAGTAAAAATGGAAAGTTGTAAGCTATAAATGAATGATTTTGACACAAGCAAAAGATGCTGATCCAGCAGTATTCCAGTGGAAATACTAACATACCTTTAAAAACTGTCTGTCTCTGTCTGAAGAGACAGAGCAGAATTTATATTTGGGGTTTAGTTACAAAAACAACTCCTGCTAAGGAGTTTCACCAAATCCTGAAATGTGCCTGAAATACGAACTCAAGAATTAAGCTTACACTTATAAGGCTTTTCATTTCTAAGTGTTGTTAAAGAGTTTGGTTTTGAAAATACAATTAATTAATACAATACAATTAATCCTGCCCTTCTGATAAACTGAACATTCTAGTAAGATGTGATCAGAATAAACAATTCCAAAATACATTACTGCAATGCACAAGGAGTATGGTTTGCAAAATAAAGTAGCAACCAAGTCAAAACTGCAAGATTCATCATTAATGAACAAGAAGCAAAACAGTGTGACCAGAACCTAAGGCCAACATAAAACATTGCTTTCCTGCAATTCTACTTTCTCTAAAGTGAGTATCCACTGTTCTGGGGTACATTATAATGTAACTATCACTCATCTTTCAACCACAGAGGTCTCTTATCCATATTTTAAAGTTTGTCCTCCAGCTTCCTACTGGTACCACCAGCCTGAACAATTCACAGCTCGGAGACTCACACTGTCTCACGTCAAGAAAGGTTAGAGAGTGACAGTTTCCTCCTTCTTCTCTGCGGACACCTGATGCTCCAGGATGTATAAACTAACGAACAGTCAAACATTAATGGCAAAGATATCTTTGTGGTGCCATTCTTTTATAAAATTCCTCTCTCCACATGGGACAAATGTACTTGCTCATGTATGGCTAAAGTGACCCTGGAGAACAAGGGAGCTTTTTAAAGTCTTCCATTTACCTTGAGCAAAAACAAGACAGAGGAATTCCTAACAAATTAGGCCTTCGTATCACTGATCTCAGAGGCCTAGTTTTTACAGGATATTCCACTGACAACATAGAAGAAAAACAGACCATAAATTCCCATAAAGTCCCAAGTTCATTAACATGGAAGTTGCCATATTCAATCCATCATATAAGCAGCTATAAATTATACTTCACTGTCTCAGAATGAGTTAAAATCCTTTCCTTCTAGACTAGGTTACAGTTAGAAATGCCTAGAATGCCAAGCCCAAAGGAATATTTTTGGAAACAATGACAGAACAAGTAAAAACATTAAAAGGTGCGTTCCAGAGAATTCCCCAACTGATCACAGTGAAAAATGCTGCCTGAAGACACTAAACTGCCAAGCAGGCAGAGAGATTTGGCAAGATGAAGGAAAATTACCCAGGCAGAATGGAGTATCAGGAGCAACATACTCAAGCTTGTATTTTCACTGCTTTCCTACCACCTCTTTAGGACAAGCTTGCACATTTCCACTCTGACTGATTTTTCCCATTTAATGTAAAAATCAATAAATGTTACACTAACGAGGCCAAAAGAATTGCTTCCATTTATCAAGCATAGGTTTCTATGCTTGGCCCCAATAAGAAATAAAAGGCATTTGATTTTTTTTTTTTAACAACAGATAGCTTACAAATCTTCCATTTGAGCTGCAAACCATCCAGCTTAAATCTGATACATACTCTTAGTTACTGTCCCTAGACTCCTCAAAGGAAGCTAACAGACCTCTGGAAGTCTGTGGATAACAATCTGAAAAGTAATACCTGTAGATGCTTTCTCTAATGTGTAAAAAACCTAATTTTTTGCATATTTCCAGTCAACAAAATTTGGATTTCACATGGCATTCATAAACCTGTTGTCTTATGCATTTTGAAAGAACAATGATTGTAATCTAAGTGTTGTATTTAATGGTTACATGTTAACATATTTTTTCCTTAACCAGATGATTTGTTTTCTTTCACTTTCTCTTAGCCAAGAAAGACTGACCAGAAAAGTGCACAGCTGGAAATAAGACAAAGGTAAAGAAAAATTAACCACCACTGCAGCACATATAATTCAGTTTTTTCAAACCATAGTAAGGTTTCCAGCTTTCTACGCTTATCACCACAGATAAGCATAAAAATTGTAATTCTAATTGTATTTCTAATTCTAAACTTTTTTTATTTTAATCAAAAATTTAAATCCTAATTCTAAAGATTTAAAACTGACTTCATACAAAGACAAAGTTTTGTTTAATAGCTTTTCATCTTTTGAGTTTCAAATTTCAAGTTCTGTATTTGCTGAAGTCTGAAGATCCCATCCTATCAATCACTCAATGCACGTCAGACATCTCTCTCCTGTCCTGCACCCAGAGGTCTTGCAGAAATTCTGAAGATAAAATAGCTTTTTTAACATAGTGAGGAAAGAGAGGAAGTACAGCTGAACAAATCACTAATTTTTTTTCCTATCTAATTTGCATCACCAAATGCCTTCCTAAACTAGGAATGCAGATACATTTATATTTTTGTACCTGTAATGTACAGTTTTCTTTCCGCTTCAGGAACTCCACAAACCTGGCCACTACTCCTTGTGTGCTTATGACTTCATCTATTGGAGGATTTGGTTCTGTTTAAAATAAGAAGTTAAGTTAGATACACTCATTTCTTTGTAAGAAAATTCTCAAGTTACTGTATCAAAACAATATCCAGTGACAAACTGACTGCTCTTTTCTTGGAGTGTGCTCTTTTTCTACAATACTTCACTAAAAGGCAATGGATTCATATCTGTCAACATAAGAAAACTCCAGAGTTTTGAGGTAATAAGATAATATGATTCAAAGCACTGATGCACTCAGTAGTTTAGGCATACTGATTTCAGAGCAGCAGCTCTGTGCAGTCACTCTGGCAGGCACACATGCAGAGGACCTTTGGTGTACAGCATGTTTGGGCACAGAGACACTGCCTCCAACATTTAAACTTGCATCCAAGAGGAGATCTCACATCTGCAACACTCAGCACACATTTCAAGAAAAGAAGAGACTATTACATACATCAAGCTGACATTGTGTCAAGCAGAGTTTGACCCTGAAATTTCAGTGTGAAACTCAATTTTTATTGCTGTCAAAGTAAAACCACATGCTAGGGAGCCTTCTACATTTCTCTCTAAGTAACTTCAGCCCTTACCTTTAGAAAGCAGCTTTCGGAACTTCTGGGTGGCTGAGAGCTGCTGCTCTGGACTATTGGAGAAAATCATCTCAATCATATCAGCAGTGATGACTGCACTCTAGGATTTACATGGGGAAACAGAACGAGGGTGATAGAGAGCAAAAGGGGGAAAAATCTGGAATTAGCGACATATAGGTTACATTTGCTAAATCAGTATAAAGTTTATTTCTTACTGAATAAAAACTTAAGTAAAACCATTATGGACAACAAAGGAATCATTATATATGAATCTACATAAGGCAGCATCTTTCTCAAATGCAACTTGGCTTTCCTGAAAGACAAAATTCAAATTTTCCTCAAGATATGGCAAGAAAATTACTCTTCAGAATTTTTCACTAGTATTCTCTCCTTCCCTCTAAAATAAATGTAAAATTGTCAGCTTTAACAAAAAGTAATTATGTTAGCATTTAGATTTCCCTAAGATGTACATTTTGACTTACTCTCTTACACCAAAATGTATAAGATCTGTCATTTCTAGAAGAGTTGACAAACCCTAATGCTTGTTATCAACATCAAGTAGAGGTATTAAATTTTACATAATACTGACAGTTTCCAATAATATGAATAAATTAAATCAGCAACCTTTCTTATGCTAGGTAAAATCTGACATTCTGTTCACCACACATGTACCCATGAAAAGAAGCATAAGAAAAGTCAGATTTTTTTCTTCCACTTCTAATCTAATCTTCAGATCCATCTGATCCCAACCCTTAGACAGACAGGGAGACAGATGACAGTGCTGAAAATACCTAAGCATTGTCTGTAACAGCCAACAGCTCCAACTGTTAAGAGCCTGAAATTAATGGCATTTAACACAGCAAACTGTGTAATGACACTATCTATCAATTAGGCAAAAGCCTTTCCTTACTTTTTACTCTCTATTTGTTTAATATAAGCTTCCACACAAATGATTAATGGTATTTAGGACTTGCCCAATACTTGAATACTATCTTGATGAGTAAGACCATATATTCTATTATTGATCTACCACACTGTTTATAAGCATTTCTCTGTTTCCCAGTAATTTTCAAGGCTCCTACAAATACCAATAGCTCAGCCTGATTTCTATGGAAACATCACTTGCATACTCTGAACACAGACACTGTGAAGATCAGCGACACTTTTAAGTGAGAACTGCACTTTCTTTAAACTTTTCTGTTGTAGAACTGAAACCTTTACCATTTTTCTTTCCAGAGAGAAAGTAAAAAAGTCTAATTCCCACAAAAGTATTTTTCTGTAGTTTTAAATTCTAGCACGGAAAGGGGCTCAAGGTCTCATGCAGACAGTTAAGCTAGGTCTAGCAGTGTTTCCAACATTTAGGTTAAAAATGGTGCCACTTGAAAGTCTGCTAAGAAAGCTTTCCACTGAGCCCTTTTTAACTTCGTAAATTGCAATAACACACTGCCTGATTTGCATTTTCATGTTTCAAGCAGTATGAATTTCAGATTAAAAAAAACTCTGGGCAACAGTTGACAGAATCACCCATAATGGTGAACACTAAATCCAGGAAGTGATCAGCCTGCCAGGACAATGACATTTTATTTCATTTTCTTGAGCACAAATCCTCTGAAAAACCACTCGCTATATGTCCCTGGCATTTTTCTCTCGTGTAATCTTTTTCAGGGTGGTTCATTGACATGGGTGTTTCAGCGTTGCCCATCTCAGAATGCATTCTTCACATCATTCTGGAATTTCATTTCCATCATATTACTGCACAATAGACTTGCCCAGCTTCAACCAACACTGTATTCATTTCTCATCACTTACAGAAGTCATCTCCATGTTGTTCATCTGAGCCTCATGGAAGCCCCCATCTGACATCACTTCCTCCTCCGCTTCTTCCTCAGCCGTTGCAACATTTCGGCGTTTAAACAACTAAAGAGAGGAAGTATTTAACATATATATATATAATATACATAGCCAATATACACATAGCTAATATATACACAGCATGTTGCATTAGGCTGCTATAAAAACTACATATGCTATCACCCAAGAGAAGGCAGTACACTGGCTACAGCACTTCAGCTGACAGCACATGGAGAAAATGAAAACAGCAATGTGCTAAAATATTGGTTCCTAACAGTTCTGGAAAACTATTCACTGATGTGCCCTTCTCCTCTTCACCATCTGCCTCCATCTACAAGCTCTCTAGCTTCCACACCATTGCTTTCTTGCAGAGGATGCTGGGGTTCAGAGACCTGATAAACTCCTGTGTGTTACACATCTTCATAGAACACCTGCAGGGGCTCTGACAGTCGAGTTACAGAAGCAGAGGGCTTTGGAGGATGATTATACATAGGTTATTATACTGGGATGAGCAGAATTTGGTTGCTATGACTTAGAGAAGGTACCCAGTTTAAGATGTCCAGAGAAGAGCTGGAGAGGCTACAGCTACTGGTCAGACAGTTTTTTTCAAACCCTCAAGCTGCTCTGGCCAATGTTACTCTTGAGTGAATGAGGAGCACTCACTCTATGTCTTGTAGAGCCTGCAGAAGAAGCAGTTAAGTGTGCAAGTGATTCTGATTTCAGACTGACTGTGTATGAATTTGGAGGGCAGGAACAACTAAGGGGTTTGAGAGAAGCAGAGTCAGAGACACTAAGACAGGACTGTTAAAGGACTGGTCACAGATATCTCAACTGCTGCGCCTTACCTGCTCCTCTCTCTTTTGCTTCCGTAGCTGAAGACCCTCTTCCTCCCGCCTTCGACGCATCTCATCAGGGTTTAGAGATTTGTTCTTGTAGCTCTTCAGCCGGAAATTCTCTTTTCCTGAGGTCGTCATGATTCCTTCACAATACAATTTAAAAAAGAAGACATAATTACTCTTCAACAACACATAATTTTATATTGTGTCCACTCCTTAAACTCTGTAGCCATGAACTTCCAGCCACTGCCCCCCTGTATTTCATCACCTAACTTCTAATAAAATTTAGAAGGTGGAAATCAAAATTTCACAGAATTGTCACTTAGGTGTGGCACTTCAAGTGTCACTTCAAGTTCTTTACATCAGTTCAATAACCTTTTATTTTATCATTTTGAGGCACTGGAGATTAAATATTTTACTAAGAACTAAGGTCTACAAGGCAGAGTATATAGCATGGGCTAAAAAGAAAACTATACTAAAAATTTTAATGTTTCTCTACACAGAGAATTAGCCAAATTACATACTCCTGTTTTTACTCAAAAGTAAAGACGTCTTAGCTGCTTTTTATCTTAATTTGCTTTGCATGTCAGTACAGGGGCTTTTTTTTTCACACTTCATAGCCAACATTCCAAGCTAATTCAACACAACCCTGTTGAAGAAACTTGAAGAAACCGTGTGTTCTTCCTATCCAGACAAGGGCTACAAGGAAATTGAAACAAAAAGAAGAATTTTAGGTGAAGATGGTTTAACCATTGAAAATGCTCTGTCCTGCAAAGAAAGCAGTGCTATTGTTCCCCTCCTCCCCACCCCCCAATCCTGCCACTGTTTATGCAGAGGGGCCTTTTTTCAGTCTGTGATTTCCATCTGTCTTATGTAACTCAGTGGGTCGGCATTTACAGCTGCCCATGATGATTTGCACATGTACAACACCACACTTTGGAGCCACTTAGCATAAAGCAGTAGGTGGAGAACTGTGTGGAAAGAACTCATTCCCCTGAAAGTAATGGGTCTGGATCAGGTCTCTACTCTTAGTGCTCCATTCTGCTGCTACTTCTCTCTTTACATCATCCCTTTAAACCCAAAAGAGTTCGGGAATCAAATTCTCAACACGTCAGTGTTTCCATACATCTTCACAGAGATGCAGAGTCTCCAGCATATTGTAAATCCTGTAACACAGAATTTAGCAAGCTGCACTATATAAAAAGTTACTCTACAGGACTTTCAAAGGTCTCTTTCAAATGCTCTAATGTGTTGTATTAAATAAGCTACCTTCCTCAAATTCCATAAGCACAGAATCACCCGATGATAAATGATCTCCTGTGCATTTTCTACTTTAAAATGAAGCAACATGAGTCTGTACAGATTCTCAACAGCTTAGGTTTCCTCTTTAAAATACATCAAATGTACATCGAGTCTACTCTAACTACTCTTCTTTCATTAGTACAAAGAGCTGTAACAGAATAGTAATTTTAAAAAAGATACTCAAATATGCTTCTTGTTAGAGAGCCTCTTTTTAAGTTGCTACTACCTGACAACCATTTATAAGAATTCTGACAATCAGAACTGACTTTCACAGAAAACATTTTGGACATCACTTTTAAGTGTTACTGTATTCTGAAAACTGAGATTCAAAAAAACTGTTCAGGGACACAGAACTACTACATTGATGGTCAATCACAGATTGCACCAAATGCAACACTAACAACCTGAGCATATGGGTAAGCAATTCAGCAGCCTAATTTGGCTGAAAAGGCTCTCCTGAAATGGCCTTTTTTTAGTAAAGATATGACAAAAAGATAAACCTCACAGCACCAGAAGTTCCCTACATCTTTCTTAACAGCTTTGAGACACCTTTCTTCCTGTGTTTACATGTTTGCGCTTCAAGTGTTTGTGTTTCTTACAGTATGCGTGGCAATTATATGTTCTTCACATTTTTAGTTTAAGTGACTACTACCTTCATATTCAATACACATACTATTTAAATAAGCCTGGGATTTTAACTGTAAAAAGAAGTTCAGTCAACAAACACTCAAAATTTCTTGCATTCCTAAAATATTTTGAACAAAGTATTTTATATATTTTAGAATAAGCAAGTTGAACTCAAACACTAGGTGGACAATCATGAGCTAGAAGGACATTCCTAACAGGCAAATGGCTTTGCAGACACTCTGGTCATTCAGTTCCTGATCATGAATAAACACAGGCATACACTACAGCCCAGATAACATCTCAGGCCTTCCCCAGTGTTATTAAAAATTCTCCATTTTTGTCTGAAGTCTGTCTTCTCCAACTCATGAGACTGTATTTGCCTTTATTTGGGATTTCAGGACTTTGATAACTCCTATGGTCATTTCACACCTTCACTTTCAACACCTACAAGTTCTTAATTTAATTGAATTCTTGACAGGGAACATCTACTTCACTTAATACTGAATTTCATCTAATTTCTATTATGCAGCCTCCATATAATGTTCCAATGTTTCTAAACATCAATGACACAACCAACTTCGTCATACGTAAGTTTCCTTAAGTGTATTCTTCCTTTCTGTACTGATTAACCTAATTTCCCCCCTCCGTCTCCCAGTTTGCATACTGATTTTCTTCCAATTAATTTTGCTTCTGTCTTAAAGGTAATAATTTCCATTTTCCTCTCAGAGTTCTCTTAGCCCCTCCTGTTGTACCCAAAATCATTGTTTCACTCATTGAAAATACAGGTACAGGATTTACTTGAATTCTTTCTCTGACTTTACTGCAAGCTCTCTACCCAACAGCTTCACAGGTATTATCTTTCCTACACCCTCTACAAGCTGTAGATGCAGGTTTTTGTTATGCTTATTTCTAACTTTCAAGACAGCTCACAGCTGACTAACCCCTTCCTCTACTTCATGAGTAAACCGTACACTTAAAATCCTTTCAAAATAGTATACTGTCCTTTACCTGGGAGTACAAACACCCACCACCAAATGACTGGGAAGGAGTTGTGTTCATTAAAGGTGAAAAGATTAAACTCTCTTCATCACTGAGAAGTTACCAATCAAACTAGAGATGGGTTCAATACCTTATTTTATACTAGGCTGTCACTGGCAGTAAATAGAATCCCAGCACACAGCCACACACCTATTTTATACACCTGTCTGTCTAATCTCTATAACTGTTAAACCCATAGTTATTTTCTATTAGTAATTCTTACATTCTGAACATACCTTAAAATCAATTTTTTCTTTACTATTCTTTTACTGGTTTCCTGAGTACTGGTGAAAAATTCAACGAGTGCAACAAGGATTCCATCCAGCCCACACATACTGACAGCATCTTTGGACCTGTTCAAATGTGTGAGCACACAACGGCTTTTTAGGACTAAAAATGTAATAACTCTATGTTAGTTGTTACAGTCATCCAAGGATTGTTTGCTATAAATCTCCTCCTCCATTTTTGAGGATGTAGCTTTTTCCCCAGACTAAACCACAGAAGCAAAACAACCTCAAATTGTCTCTCTGGTCTTCAGCAGCTTTGGTGTGACTTAGCTGAAAATCTTTCAGTGGTTACTTCAAGTTCAACCTTGCAGCAAATAGCATACCCTCGATCTTCTCTGCATTGTCAAAATTAATGCTGCTTCTGGAGAAAATCTGTGGTGGTTGTCATGGAAATGTTCTACCCATCTTTTCTTTCCTAAAGATAGCACAGCATTGTCCACAGTTTTTGATACTCCTGGCTACAGATAAAAACCTCTGGAGACCTGGTAAGGAATTTTCACAGTGTATTTCTTGGGCTTTTGTGCAACACCACTCAAGCCCCATATGACACTTTCTCCTTCTCAGTTTGTCTGCATAAAAACAAATTTTAGCAGAATTAAACTCACTATTCCTGGATGTCTGCATTTCCATAGGGCAAACATGATCCCAAATTTTTTTGCTGATTAAGACAAGAACCATACTGAATGTGGATGTATTCTAAGCACACGTTTTTAGGGGAAATAAGAAGTTCTGCATTTCTCCTTGCTCATCAAGTCAAAGGAACTCTGAAGCACTGGGAAACACAGAGTCACTTACTGCCATGACCTACCTTGTCCTAAGCAATCATCTAGATAGGAATAAAAATGAACTCCCTGCCTTCTTAAATCAGCTATCACTGTCACTAGACTTAAGGGCTTTGCCAGAAGGAATACCTTGTGACTAATACTCTTGGATATTTCACACGTCAGAGGTACCGAAATGTAAAAATAAAGCCTTACAAATCAAGAGCTGTATAATTATATATATATATTCCATTTGTTATACACATGTAATAGCATATATGTACCATATATGTACCATATTTCATTATGTATACATAATGAAAACAAGATTACCAAATACACTCCCAATATTAAAGACTATTACAGACAGACTTTACTTCTTTGGAAATAGGGGCAATAATATGAAAAAAAATATGTTTCAGAAGTGTAGATCTATACATGACAGTCTGCCTCACAATGGGAATAGGTCAGAAGGGGAAGACTTGAAAATTAAGGCAGAATAGGAGTTTGAAGAGAAACAGTGTGATAAAAAATTATCAGACTACCCATGATTTGCCATATTATGAGAGTACATTTCCTAACTGAGGTGGCTGTCAGAAGGAAAGGAGTCACTGGAGGCAGACTTGGGAGCTCTGTTGTGCTGTCACACTGCTGTCTCTCCTTTAGATTGCTGCCAGAGAGACACAGAAAAGATACAAGAGGCACTATCAGCCCTGAAAGGACAACTCATGTTCGAAATGGCACTGTCAAGCAGTGAGAGAACCTGGAATTACTCAAGGAAGAAAAGCTTTACTTCCAAGGAGATTTTGGTTTGTTTACTGGCTCTGCCATGAAATTCTACATGTCCTAGAGAAGAAGTTTCCTCCCAATCACACTTCTTGACATCAAGCCAAATACCTACAGCACAGCCTGGACAGATGTTTGAGCAATTCTCTGAGCTCTGATTACAGGATACATCACCTTCTGACACTCTTCTGTGTGAGACTAGAAAATCTATCCAATTTTAAAAGCCAACCTGAAAGCAGCACTTGGTCATTCACTGCCCTCATGAACACATTCTCAAAAAAAGAAAAAAAATTAAAAAAAAAATAATAATCAGTATTTTAGCCACAGATGTGTCTGGGTTTT